CGCGGGTCCAGCACCCCCACTGCTGGGAGCCTCTCCGCACCCTGAAGAGGGAAAGCCCGCCGTGCCCCTGAGAAGCGCGCAGGGGCAGCCGCATCTCAGTTCAGGTTGTTAAATGCGCTGATGGGAGTGGAGGGGCCACCTGACTCCATGGTGGTCGACACACTTGGTGACGACAGGAACCTACGTAGTGGTGGTTGTTAGGAAACAAAAACCATTTTCCTGAATTTAATAGCTGGACTGGGAGCTTCTTTTACAAGGACATTTCATGTAACATTTCATCGCTACCACAGATCCCTGGGAGGCAGGAGGAGGGGAGCCCTTGCGGGCAGGGCCGGGTAAGTGCTCAGAGCCCCAAGGCGAAGGGGAGAGAGAACTAACTTGGAGACACACGCTTCAAATAATGTCCACAAAAGACACGCGTGGGCCCACTGCTCTCCCTGTCCTGTGTCCTCAGGGTGGCTGAGCCTCTGAGCACCAGTGACAGCGGGAGGGCAGGGGAGCACAGGTTGGGGAGCAGGCCGGCCAGATCACATCATCTTCCAGAAACTCCCCACCCTGCTTGATAGCCTCCAGCCAGCGAGGAGACCCCAGCAGCAGAAGCAGGGAGACCTCAGGCCTCAGCACCCCACGCCAGCGCAGTCCGCTCGCCGCCCAGCTGCGCTCATCATTGAGGACGCCTCTCCCCCAGCAGCCTTCCCGGCAGGAACACACCTTCGACACAGGCAGCCATTCCTGAAGGTCTGCCCCCCCTACTTCCCTGAAAACACTTGCTATTTTAAAGCATGCTTTACAACCGGCGTCCCATAAATGCAGAAACATAACTGAGAGTGAGCTGAGCAAGTGCTTCAAAAACCATCATGAGGCCCCTATATTCATTGCAGCATTTTTTACAACAGTCAAGATGTGGAAGCAGCCCAAGTGCCCCTCAGTAGATGAGTGGGTAAACAGTGGCGGAACATTCACACAAAGCAATACTACTCGATCATTAAAAGGAAGAAAATTTTACCCTTTGAGACAGCATGGAGGGACCTGGAGAGTATCATGCTAAGTGAAATAAGCCAGTCAGAGAGACCAGTACCACATCATCTCACTCTATGAATTCTAATGAACAAACAAGCACAGAGACAGACTCATGGACAGAAAGCAGGCTGACAGCGATGGGGGGCAGGGGACCGGAAGGGGGGGAGTGAGGAAAAAGGAGAGGATAAAACTCATGGACACAAACAACAGTGTGGGGGCCGCCAGGGGACAGGCGTGGGCAGAGGTGGAAAACAACGGAAAGAGAACACCTATCTCTCGGGATTTCGCCACGTAGGACGGCTCTGCAGGGCAGCTGCTTTGCATGTTCCAGCATTTTCCATAGTGAGGATAACTGCTCAACTCCTGGAGCACCCGCCCTGCCCACTCACCCAGCTAACGAGCTAGTCGGGCCCACTGCCTGCTTCTGTGTGGCCTGTCAGCTGAGAGTAGTTGACACATTTTTAAACAGTGAAAAAAACTTCATGATGTGAATTATATGGATTCAAGTTTCAGTGCCCATCAATACAGCTCTGTGGGAACACAGTAGGTTCATCTGCTCACCTGTTACCTGTGGCCACAGAGCCACACACTTACCCCTGGTCTACAGGAGAGTCTGCAGCTGGAGGGACAGTGCAGCTCGGGCACGCCCACAGGCTGCTCCGCCAACAAATCCAAGCAACT